CTATTTCCTTGAAACACGATTGACGCAGGAAAGAAAGGACACTTGTAGAAAAATGAAGTCCATTGCAAATCAAAAAAGGACTTTGCGTCCCCGAGCATACAGATAGTAACTAAATTCTATACAAAGAAGAGCTACAAAGAGCTACGAAACATAGAAATGACTAAGGCCACCAGCTGCTAGGGCCCTCGGCTCATTCCTCTCCGGTTCCTCCCCCGTCGAGGCCTCCACGCCGCCTTTGTAGTTCGTCTCCAACCCCCAATATTTCATCTAGCTCGGTATCATGCACCCTAGTAATGATGGGTTGGAGGAGGAGGCAGATCGTCTGTTGGCTCGACGGTGGCAAAGACGGAAGGGCAAGAGAAGGTTGGTCAGAACTGTCGCTGAGTGTGATGAGTTTGTTTTCACCTTTAGCCCCGACCGTCCCTTCTGCCTCCACGTGGCCACTAAGGTCGGATCAGACTTGTTCGTTCAGAGCTTCGTCATCAGCCTCCCTTTGAAGGTTGTGCATGGCGAACAAGTCCGAACCTACCTCGACGTGGTAGGCGTAAAGGGCGGCATCCCAACCTTCTTTGAAAGCCTTCTTCTTAGCTTCCTCAAAGGCGGGGACCATTTGGTCTTGAGTGGCCGCCCACACCCTTTGACATTTCGATTGCAGCCTGTCCTGCTCCCCCACTTTCTCTACTGTCAAGGAGTCCACTTTGGCAGTAAGAGCGTTGATTACAGACTTGGACTCTTGTAGCTTGGCTTCGGAGAAGGACACTCGCAGCTCATACTCCTTGGCTTTCTTTATCATCGCCGCTTCACCCGCCTTGGCCTTTTCCAGCTCGACATGAACGACGTCTCGATGGTGGATGAGCTCGGCAATGTGCTTGGTTTGGTCGCCGAGGGTCCTCTCGACCTTAAGGATGTGGTCGTCCTTAGCAGTTGCGGCTCGCTCGGCGTTCTTCGTCTCTTGTTTATATTCCCAAAAACATTCAATTATGGCCCCTATTTGCTGGTTGGCCTGAAAAAGGAGGAATATGAGAGAACGACCAAAAGGGTGCGAGGAATACTTGAAAAAGTGTTAAACTTACCACCAGGCTATTTTGGATAGTGCTTATCAGAAGTCGATTGTTCGAGTAACCTTTGTACACGGTCATATCGGCGTCAAATTGAAGCATCCCTGCGACGACAAATGCCACTTCGGGGGATTGGAGGATAGAGTCGGCTTCCAGAACAGGGCGACCGCTCCTGGTCTCGGCCCGAACAACCCACTCGCCCGAGACAGATGGGCCCAGGGCCGGGGCATCATGCCGCCACTTCACACGATGCTCTTCAAATTGTTCAGAGTTCCAGGCACGTCTGTCCCTCAGTCGGTCTCCCAGAGTGGAGACTTGTTGAGATTAGGGCCTTTGCCTGGTCTACACGTCCGGGTCCCCAGATTGTTACGTACGCGATGACGACGACGGCGATTGCCTCCGAGGAGAACTAGGCGGAGGGATGATGGGGGCAGTGTTGGAAGGCTCGGCCAACCCGGCGAGCCTAGCTCTCCTTGTCGCGGCGGCGACCTCCATTGTAGCAGCGGTGACTAGTGGCGGATTAAACATCTTGGGCGCAAAGGGCTCGGGAGCGTGATCAGACTCTTCTTCGGAATCTCCCTCGAATTTTTCCTCTTCTGACGAGGGATGGTCTTCACAAACAGAAGGGTTGAAAGGATGTGGAATTTGGGAGAATCGACTGTAAGTTGGCGTGTAGCCGAGGAGAGTATGTGCCGCTCGCTCAACTGGGTCCGATAACCAAACGCTTAGTAGGTCGGCAACCGAACTTGGGACCTCAACGGTTGAGCAGCGTCCCGACGATATCCTTCTGCAAAAGCAAAGCAAAATTAGTGCATCCCTCGGACCCAAGAATAGCAAAATCAAGGAGTCAGAAAGAAAATACACCTTCATCCCTCGGTACTTTGAGGCAGTACAATCCGTCATATTTGGGCTTGGTCCCTTTCTCCCAACTTTCGCCGAGCATGATCAGATCGTCTACATACCCTTTGTCCGAGTCAGGCATGTGGATTACCAGATACATTGAGGCGTCTCGAGCCTGGAGGTAATATCGCTCCCCGGCAACTAGCCTCAAGTCGTAGCAGAAAAAAATTTCATCTACTCCTAAGTTGGTCCCCAGCCGAGCGTTTAAGGCGACTACGCCCCATCACAATCCTAAAGAAGTTAACCCTACATTAAAAGGGAAAGAGCTTCAGTTGCATCAAAACTCCCAGCAACAGGGGATGGAGGGGGAAGGTCAATCCTCCCTCCATTATGGCCTTCATCTAGAAAGGCATCATGTCCACATTTTTCATATCCCTCCTATGGTGAGTGGGGTTGAAGGGAAAAGCAAAGACAGGCTCACGGATGTGGTACCTAACCCTAAAAGATTGGATATTCTCATCAGTCACTTGGGTTCTCCTCATCTTGTGGGTAATCCTAGCCCTAACAGACGTCTCCCCCCTGGTTCTACTCGATCTAGCCATTGGTGGGCGCTAAAAAGACGAAATGTAGAGGAAATGAAAGCTCAAGTGAAAATACTTATAGGAAGGTGGTCTTCAAAGAGAGAGCTCGGAGGACGAAGGAAACTCGGAGGAGAACAAAGGAGCACTCGAGGTCTGACTGCTGAGGAAAGGTTGAGGATGCAAAAGTTTTGAGAAGGTATGAAAACCTCCTATTTATACTGCCTCACAGGGAGCGGGAATCAAAAGTTGGGTCATCATTAGGGCATTTGAAAAGGGCGACACCGAATGTGCAAGTAACCGTCGTTATTAATAAGGCGTGATGATGGAACCTCCAATCTCTTTATGCCACTTGTCTTACATTGCGAAAAGAATGGGGGCTGGGGGGCAGTTGGCGGGACTCTAGGTAGCTCTACAGCCTCAGATTGACACGTGAAATAATAAAACCGTTGGGATATCCAAAAGGTGCCGAGGAGGTAAGCCGAGGTATGATGACACGGAGCAGCCGAGTACGACAGCTGACATCGTATTTAATGAGATTTGACCCCTCATTTATGGCGGAATGAGTGATAGTGAAAAGACAAATAAATGCGTGTCTGCCAGCACCTGCCCTCTGGGAGTCTAAACCTACTGTCATGATGGCTAAGCATTAATGGCTGATGCGCCGAGACAACGCGATCGACTATCCCGAGGAATTGTTCCCCCGAATATTCAATACTCAGTTGATGTCGGATGCCAATCTGGGGGATTTGGGTACTCAAGGAGTGGCATAAATGCTCGGCATTTGGCCGAACATTTACCTTATTTTTCTAGCATTCAATAGGAGGAGACGTGAATAGAAAACACTCATTGCACAAGGAATGATGTGTCAGAAGTAAGATGTTTAGATGAGATTGGAGATCTTTGACAATCATTGCTAATTCAGGTATAAATACTCCTTAGAAAAATGGACAAAGATACGCAAACTTGAACCAGAAAAATAGTTCATTGAGCAAACCCTTCGACCTTATACTGACTTAAACTTCGGAGGAGATTAATTGGGCATTCGTCTGGCCTCCTTTTTTCTAACTCTGTTGTTTCAGGTTTGTCAGCTTGGAGATCGCTACCTCATATTATTGCAGGAATTATCCCGTGCATAATGAATTTTAGATTGGATACCATGGGATTTAGGTTTAGTGGAAAGAGCACAAAAAAGTTTTCTTCTTGAGTCAAGTTGGAGAAAAATTCATTCCTTACTAATTTTTGGGATCGGTTTGCTACGTACAATCGAGTTTAAAAATCAAAACTTAAGAAAAGTAGGAAAAATGATGGAAGTTACATTCTAAGAGATTGTACGAATAACTTTATTTCGAGAAAGCGTATTCCTCTCAATTGCCAAGAGCCATTGTGGATTAAGGAATCCGCAGGCAGTTGTCTCAACACACATCAATCTTTATATCTCTAGCGAGCACGTCGAAGCACTTTATGTTGTTACTTGCCCTTATCTTCTCTAGTCTGTCAACCTCTCGTCTTCTAAAGCGAGTGAGAGAGAGAGTCGCTAGAAGATTTTGGTTAGAGGACACAGTCCTCTATGCTAAAGGCCAACTAGGGTTGGGAGAAGGCAAGGGTAGTTCAGGTGTTTGGGTCAAAATTGATGGGTTGGGGTTATTTCCTTTCCTTTTATTGTTTACAGAATAAAGTCAAAATTGGTAGAAAATTTTCTCTCATCATCGTTGACGTCATCATCTTGAATGGTCCCGTAGGTACACTTGAAATTCATATTCAAACTAAAGGGTATTAAGTCTAATTTTCAAAACTATGAAGGTATTCTTCGAATCAGTGCAAACCTAGAGGGGTGTCACTATAATTATCCATAACGATATTTATTGGGAATATAATACATTCTCTAATCGAACCGAATGCATTGAAAAAACATTATTTGGAATTTTATTGTTTACACTCTTATGGCCGGTGATTGAAATATTATTCTTGGTCTGTGATACCTATCATCCAACCTATAACCCAATCTTATTGACGGAACATGACACGTAAATTCAAACAACGAAACATCAGAGAGGTTAGAACAATCTCAAAAAAAGAAATCTTAAGAAATATGTTTTAACAAACTAATAGAATGAAGTGTTTTCCTAAACTGAATATTTAACGCCAGAGATGTGGACCCATCATGACGTATCGAATTATGACCCATCATGACGTATCGAATTATAAAGAANGGCCGGTGATTAAAATATTATTCTTGGTCTGTGATGCCTATCATCCAACCTATAACCCAATCTTATTGACGGAACATGACACGTAAATTCAAACAACGAAACATCAGAGAGGTTAGAACAATCTCAAAAAAAGAAATCTTAAGAAATATGTTTTAACAAACTAATAGAATGAAGTGTTTTCCTAAACTGAATATTTAACGCCAGAGATGTGGACCCATCATGACGTATCGAATTATGACCCATCATGACGTATCGAATTATAAAGAATGATTACTTTCACACATAAATCATATCGGAATGTACTTCTCTTATAAACTTTTAAAGAAATCTTTTTTGTTCGGTATATGCAATATTTTCCCAACGGAAAATAAAATCTGCATAATGCTGTTAATACCATACATAAACAATAAAGTGAGAAATATTTAGCCTCACCATACTGCACTTGGTGCATACATTTGATCCTCAAAGATCTCTTAGAGGTGAGAGTCTCCTGTACTGATCCACTTTTTTTTTTCTCCCCTTTTTTTTAAGGATGTTTTTGTCAAAGTTGGACCCTCTAACGGGCATCGACCTCCGTCATAGATATATAGGTGGAGCAACTCTGTACGGTGCTTCTCTGGGTGGAATTTGAAGGAACCTCTGGGGCTGGAAGGAGCATGGTTTCGTTAGCCAGCATAGAAATAACATCTGACATTGTTGGTCTAACCATTGCACTCTCTTGCACACACAAAAGACCCACATGAATGCACCTGAACACTTGGGGAATAGAACACGAATCGCCTAGTGTTGGATCCACCAGCTTCAAGACAGTGCCTTCTTGCCACAACTCCCAAGCCTGAAAACCAGAATTGCAAACATATAAATCCAAGGAACCTGTAGATAGTACTATAACATTAAAAAGTTATTTCTCGGTACGGTAAATTAGTTTATGGGGGTGAGTTATTTGTAGTCATTAATTATAAAAATTATATAGTAAAGCAATCTAATAAAGNATAAATTAGTTTATAGGGGTGAGTTATTTGTAGTCATTAATTATAAAAATTATATAGTTAAGCAATCTAATAAAGAGATTTTATAGACATACAAGTATGATACTGAAAAATAGTTTCGGTGTCACATTGTCATTCTTAAAGAGAATGTTATAGACAGATAAGTATTCAAGATAAAATCATAAATGACTATCCAAGTATGTTTTTGGTTTTAAAATACCACCTCAACTTTTCAGTTATGCCAATGTAGCCCTTAATTTATCTAGTAGCCCTTCTATCCAATTCCGCAATGAAAGAAATGGAAAACAAAGCAAAACAGAAGAAGAAGAAGAGAGATTCCAAGGAAAAATTGAAATACATTTTATAGGTTTTTCTTATTTGCTTTAACATAAAATTGGAGTTAATGAGTTGATTCCTACGTTTATATAGTTTAATGATTAATTTGAGACAATTAGAAACTCAAGTTATTTGGTTTTAGCCTAAATATCTATTTAGGGATCCAATCTATTTTTAATGGCAAGGGAATGAAAACCACTTTGAGATTAATGAGACTCAACTTTAATTCCTAATTGGAGTTTAGTTTCCTCCTTTTATTTTTTTTGAAGCAGAAATGAGTTACTTACATATCCAACTAGATTTGTAGAATGATCATCATGCAAAATGCTACCATTTCTTCTCCCACTCACAATCTCCAACATCAAAACCCCAAAACTATAAACATCTGATTTCTCTGAGAAAATGCCCTCCATAGCATACTCTGGCGACATGTAACCACTGTATTCAACATTTAGCAAAAAATTAGTCACTATTATTTTTCATTTACCCCCAAAAAAATTAGTCCCCAAGAAAGATAAAAAAAGGTCAAAAAGAAAGTTACAAAATAATGCCAACTTACTATGTACCAACAATTCGCTCGGTGTTTGCTTGAGATTCATTTCGCCCAAAAATTCTAGCCATGCCGAAGTCTGAAATTTTCGGTTTCATTTCATCATCAAGTAAAATGTTACTTGGTTTTAAGTCTCTATGAATAATCCTTAGCCTTGAATATCTATGCAAGTAAAGGAGCCCTTGAGCTATCCCCTCAATGATAACATGACGTTTCTTCCAGTCCAATATTTTCTTTTTAAATGGATCTGCAAATTTTAACAAAACATCACACCTCATTAAGCAATTCTTCACCAACAATTTACTGAGAAACAAACAGAAAATTTAAAGTTGATATGTTAACTAACCAAAAAGGAAGGAGTCCAAGCTTTTGTTAGGCATGTACTCATATATCAACATGTTTTCTTCTTTGTAAATGCAGCAACCCAAAAGCCTTACCAAATTCATGTGTTGGAGTTTAGCAATCAGTATAATCTCATTCTTGAACTCAACTAACCCTTGCCCCGATCCCCTCAATAATCTCTTCACTGCTATTTCTTGCCCCTCAGGCAATAGTCCCTGCAAGAATTATTCGCGGGTAAGCTTCAAATTTTAGCCATCGATCAAATTTGTTTCATTTTCGGAATACTTATCAAAATTTACCTTATAAACAGGACCAAAACCACCCTGTCCGAGTTTGTTTTCGTTTGAAAAATTCTCTGTGGCAGCCAAAATAGAAGCAAAGCTGAATATTTTCACTTCATACTTCCCAGCATTTCCAATCTCTTTTGGATCAAATCTCTCTAATTCTAGTAATATCTCTTCTTTGTGCCTTTCCTTATCCTCTGTTGTGTGAAAATTACAAGGTTACACTTACTAACGACATGAAAACAACGACAAAATCATCTCCAAAAACAGAAGTATAAATAGTAAATGCATCATATTTCATGCATCTTTCAAAGATAAGCATATGACCTTGAAGCTTTTTCCTCCTCATATAGCAGAAGAATGCCAAGAGAAGCATAACTATCACAGCCACGAATGCAACAATCATCCATACCCACCAGTAATCGCCTAAATTGAGATGATCAAAGAGAACGATTAGGACAAGAAAAACTCACTGAGTAATAAAATAACATACATACATATACATACAGAAGCCGACCCAAAATAGTTAATATAAAGGTCAATTGAGTCGAGTTACACACACAAACATACACACACACACACACACACATATATATATACGTAGAGAGAGAGAGAGAGATTTTCACTAGAAATTGATGTGCCGCCACTGTTGTCCGATGAGGTCCCATTCAAAGTCGAATTTAAAACGAAAATGGTGGTCCAAGAGCCGATAATGCCTTGAACAATGTTCAACCCACCGCTCCAATACTGACAGCCAGTTCTATTACTAAAGAGGGTACTATAACCAATACAGGAACAGTTCTTCAAGCATAGATTCCAACAATCACTAAGACCCAAATTCCAATTTGGATCAGAATATGAAATTCCTCCCGAAAGACTAATAGTTTGTGGCACAAAAATTTCATTCCTAGACCTACAAGATGGTGGCCTGGGTGCTATACATCCCGGATAGGTATCAAACCCACTGCAGGGAACAATTGGCCCAACACCGGGGTCGGTTCCGACGCCGGCGTTGACGCCGGCGAACCCATCATCGGAATTCAAAACCCACCTGGAAATAGTTCCATTTGGGATAGAATAAGTCAAGTAACTCTCATTCTCATTGGAAACAATAGTAAATTGGTGGATATTGATGTCAAATTGATTAGTACTCCTCCACCACCGGATGTTTTCGAAGGTCTGATCGGTTCTGTTGAACAGTCCGGTGGTCCAGTAGTCTTCACCCCTATGTCTCATGACTATTTGGCCTGTATTTGAACCATCTATGCTGTAATTCCATTGCAGACTAACAGCTCCAGAAACTGGAACTTCATTGCTTAACCAAGAGGAAATTTCCCACTTTTCCCCTGTTCGGAAATTCATGCCCAGTTTCATTCCGGGCAATAGGGCGTTTGTGGGATGATCAAAGCTTTGCCACAGGACCTGTTTGACTGACCCATCTGAATTGAGCTCCGTCAACACAAAGTTGCCGGAATTATCAAGAGTAGCAGAGGAATTATGGGCAGATTGATTATTTGAATTCAGCGGAAATTGATTTCCACCCACCACCAAGATCTTCAACGTCCCATTTGTGTCCAAGGTTAGATTTCCGTTTCCACCGAGTATAGGACTTTCACGGTTAGCAACCCAAACTCTGTAGGCTATAGAAGCGTTTGTGTACCATATGCCCAAATAACGATCAAAATCACCGAGGGAGAAGAACCCTAATGTAAACATCCCATTTGCAGAAACCAACTGGGATGAAAAATTAAGGGCTTCCCCTGCTTGGATTGTGTCTCTTTGTGCAGAACTATTAGGGCAACCCATGAACAAACATACCAAAATGACAAGAAAAGTTGTGTTAGTAAGGATTTCTCTATCACTCATTGTTGGAACTTTTGAAAAGCTTCAAAGTTTTCTGGAGTGAATTTTTGGTTTCTGCTACCTGAATCAAATCCCGAGGATGACCATTGCCTTACATGAGACCATTTTCAGTAGTACCCAAGTTTTACTGGTCAGCCATCACTTTTGACCCAATTAGTTTATTGGCCACGCAAATTGATTACCATAAAAAAGAAAAAAAAAAGAAAAAAAAGGTTAAATAGCAGTTTGTACCCTGAAAGATTAATTTTTTTTTTAATTTACACCCTTAAAGATCATTTATTTCAAATTACACTCTTAATTAAACTAATTAGTATCAATGTGACCCTAACCATAACATTCGTTGTGATTTTCATCAAATTGTCAATCATATTAGATGCACGTGATGACTTTTGTCTGATAATGACGCTTCCCCTTTTCATGTGCGCCTTACGTGCCTGTCAATCCAATAAAAATTGACATAGACGTTATGTTTGAGATTGCAATTTCTTTAAATTGACAACAACATGAAATGTACGTGATGATTTTTATTAGATTATGACTCTTTTCATTTTCACGATATGACTGTCAATTTGATGAAAATTATAACGGAGTTATAATTGAGGTCACATTATTACCAATTAATTTAATTGGGAGTACAAATTGAAATAATTAATCTTTGATAATATAAATTAAATTTTTTTAATCTTTAGAGGTATAAAATGCCATTTGCCAAAAAAGGGGTTTAATTATAAATTATTTCCTTCAAATTTGTGTCATGTATCGTCAACTCCTTGTGTTTCGTTTTAAACAAGTTACCTCCTTAAAGTTGAAATATTTTTCAATCAACTTCTTCCTAGCTGGGCATCTTCAAATGTAATGGATATTAGTCATAATAATTTCACATGATCTGAAATTTCCTAAAAATACAAAATTAACCTCCTCTTTAATTTTTTGTTAACTCAAAAAAATTCCTACTCCATAGACAACCAAACAATGAATCTCTTCTTCCCCGAAACTTAACCCAACCATCCTTCCTCCGTTGAACCATCGACAATAGCCCTCTAAAGTTCCTCCTTGCTCTTGTGAAACCCACTCACGCACCACAACAACACCCAACTAAATCTTTTCCGGTAACTACAACAAAATACAAAATTTATATTTTATTGGTAAACAAACATTTTTACGTGTATGTGGGTACATAAAAAAGAAAGAAATAACATTAAAGTTAAGGGTATATTAGAAATTTTATATTTTCTATCCGCTAAATCAATTAATTTAATCATTTGGAAACATCAAGGGACAAATTGTTTAAATTAAAATTAGAAGGAGTTGATTGGTACATGACCTAAACATGAAGGAGCAATTTGGAATTAACCCTAAAAACAATGACTCCAAACAAAGGGAAAAGAAACATAAGATTTTTTGCGTTTTTCCTACCGAACACCAAAAAAAAAAACTTTTCATGCACCACACTTTCACACTTTTCTTCTCCGACGGAGACTTTGTTATTCGTCTTATGCCCACTAACTTTTTTAAATCTTTTGGAAGAGACGACTGAGGGATTTCGGGGAAAAGAAGACATTGAATTCCANTTAAAAAAAAAACAAAAAAATTGAGTTTGAATTTTAAATGTGTGTGATAGGTGTGTAACGTTGAAATCTTGAAAGAGTGGATTACAATAAATGAGGATTTTGTTTATTAGGTTGGTCAAGAGTGGTTAAAAAGATTTTGTTCTTGAAAGGGAATATACTTTTTATAAAGAGTAATTTATACGTCATACTTGTAGAAAGTGAGTGACAATATCATATGCAATGAGGTAAAAGGAAAGAGGACATTAGTCAATTGATGGGTAGTTTTATATAACTACTACTAAAAATTTAATTAACTAAGACTCCCATCTCCCATCTTTAGTATCGATTGTAGGATATTCTAATTCAAACAATAATGATAGAAAATACTGTTAACAATCAACGAACGAGATAATATTTTCAACTGTAACAATGATCGATAAAAGACGGTATAAGATAAATTATGATAGAGGTAAAAATCTCGTACATCACATAAATCACTCACCAGTAATTTACAATGACAAAAGTCTTTTAAAAAAGTATGTAGTTTCACATTTTTTTTTCCTCCTAAACACTAAAATCCATGACGGTAAGGATTTGATATGATTCACTGTATGTTGATTCACAATCGAGGCTTGCAAACCACTTGCCCCAGCCTACAAATATTCTATGCACGTGTTTCTAATTCTCCCCCTTTGAAAATGGAACAAAAGTCAGACATCTCCAGCAGAGAGAAAGATCTAGAAGTTTGCAGGAGTCCATGTACATTGCCCAAGTCATAACCTACATAGACTTGTGCGACAACGAAAGTTTAGATTATACGCCAGCCTATAGATTTGATACACTAATGCTTCTTTAGTTCGAAATTGAAAAGGATCATGTCCAATAAACAGTAGAGTTGTGACCTTTCCGGTGCTTTGGTACTAAGGTAAGGTCCTTTCAATGCTCTAATAAGCACAAGAGATATTAATTGAACTGTTTTCAACTCAATTTGTATTCAATTTTGGGAGAATTATACCTAAATTTCTTGAGATTTATCACTTAATCACTTTTATCCCCTGATATTTAAAATATTATACATAAACCCCTTAAAATTTTTACGCGCGTAACACTTAGACCCCTACTGTTAATATATCCATTAATAAATTACAATCAGACCTCTTGAATTTTGTAAACACATACTATTTAGACCCCTTAAGTTTAAAATGTTATATTTAGACCAAAAATACTTTAATTAAAAATAAAATATCAAATATTTTAAATTTTAAATTTTACGATTAAAATTCACGTTCTATTTATCTTTTATTAAAATAAAAATTCAATTTTTTTCTTAAAAAATAGTAATTAGTATACAATTATATTTTCTATTGAAATTTAAGTTGGTCGTTTAAACAACCAAATTAAAATACCAAACTATTCCAATTAAAGCTAAAATATATTGTGTCAATTACTGTTTGATCCCTTATTTAATTTTTTTTAGTTTTATTCTAATAGATAATATAATTATATACTAATTATGATTTTTTTTAAAAAAATTAATTTTTGATTTTTGATTTTATTTCAATAAATGACATAATAAAATATGAATTTTAGATGAAAAATTTAGGTTCTATTATGAATGACTTACGCCCCTTATTTGATTTTTTAGTTTTATTCTAATAGATAGTATAACTGTATATTAAATAAATTTTTTAAGAAAAGTTAAAATTTTCTTTTTAATTTTATTTCAATAAATGATACAATAGAATATGAATTTTAGTTATAAAATTTAAAATATTTGATATTCTATTTTTGATTAAAGTATTTTTTTTGTCTAAATATAATATTTTAAAGTTAAGGGGGGGTCTAAGTATTATATACTTACAAATATCAAGAGAATATAAGTATAATTTATTAATAGATATATTTACAACACGGGTCTAAGTATTACGTGCGTACAAATTTTGGGGGTTTGTGTATAATATTCTAAATGTCAGGGGATTTAAGTGATTAAATGACAAATCTCAAGAAATTTAAAATATAATTCTCCCAATTTTGATGATACATAAAATGTATTTATGCATCACTTGTCAAGTATTTAATATAGCAATTAAGGAGACTCAACACAAGTAAATATAAATTAATTAGTTCGGTTAAGGTGACTTACTCTACTATGAAGGGCTATGGTGGCTTGAGTGTTTCATTACTCAAAGAGTGTGGAGTGTTTTAGACGTATGTAATGCCTCCCTTGTATAAGTAGAGCTTACAATTTATAGGAGTTTCTTAATATATTGGGACGCTATTATCGTAACAGGTGAGACAGTTCGTGGAAATAACACCATTCTCGTAACAGGCGATACAATTTTCGTGGAGGTGACAACGTGCACCCGATGATTGCATCCCACGGAGATCTCCTCATGTTTCAATTGTAGACTGAGTCTCTCAATATGATGAGGTTGACTCGATTGAACTTCTTTGATCCTGTGAAGGGTTTGACCTGTATATTTGAGTTAGACCTGGTATGTATCTCTGATTTGGGCCTAATCTAAGCCCATCACTTATGATCAACTTTAATTTATGACCAACCCAACCCTTCTTAAATGCTGCAGCCCCAAGTGACAAAGCGCCTACATCGAGGTGCCAAATCTTCACTTTGGTGTGAGTTCTTGGGAAGTACATGGGGGTAAGACTGCTTAACTGTACAGATCTTAGGAACTTTGTACATTGAGCTGTCCAAGAACATGCAGCTAAAAATCAACAAGAGAAGTCTACAGTTCATAGTCAGTTATGTCTAAGAATCAATTAGTACAACTCCTCAGCCATCAGCGGAGAAGGCTATTAGGCGTGACATGCTGAAATAGCATCGGAAGATACATATCCTATGATAGTTGATTGGAATGTGCCGACTCGTATCAATATTTAGACAAGTAAAATATTTAGACAAGTGCAAACGATATTATACATGATGCTTCCAACTACACTAGAATAACGAGAAATAAATTGTTCCTTATTCTCACTCTGTGGTGATAAAACTGTTGAAAGTCTAAAGTGAGTGGCAAGTGGAGCATTCACGGGCTTTGAATTCTAGATCCCAAACCGCTCAATAATTTTCTCAATATATTCTTTTAAGATAAATATAACATACATGCTTTCTTATTCTTGTGAATCTTCATACCCAAAATTTTCTTTGCAGCACCCAAATCTTTCATCTCAAATTTTGAACTCAATTGTTTCTTCAACTTGTCAATTTCTAATATTCTCTTAGCAACAATAAACATGTCATCCACATAAAGTAATAAATATATAAAAGAACCAATTTTGACAACTATCTGTGGTACGCACAACTATCATAATTACTCATAGAGTAATCATGATCTACCATAAACGTGTCAAAACGTTTGTACCACTGTCTTGAAGACTATTTCAAATCATATAATGATTTTTTTTACAAGCAAACATGATCTTCTTTACCTTGAACAATAAATCACTCTGGTTGATGTATGTAGATAGTTTCTCCAAACTCACAATATTGAAAAGTTGTCTTTACATCAAATTGCTTAAGCTCTAAAG